ATAAGACACTATAATATAATTTTTAGATTATTTAATTTTAAACAAATTTCTCTAACACATCATTTATACCGGTTTTAAAGTTATAAATTATTTACCAAAGTGGTGCATTTATGCTAATTATAACTCGTGGATTTTTACTACATATTGTCTTTGAATGCGATTTTTGAGTAGACTGAGTTGCTATAGGTTGCTATGATGTTAGACAATATTATAAACAATTTAATTTTGGACAAATTTGCCAAATATTTTATTTACATCAAACTGTTTAAAAGTTATAGGCGATAAACTAAATAAATGCACTATACATATATGGATTGGTGACAAATGGACTTTGCCATATAAATTTTTGTGCTTGAACACAATTTTAAATTATACCGAGCTGCTGTAGGGCCTTACAATGTTAGACAATAATATAAACAATTTAATTTCACACAAATTTATCTAATATTAGATTTAAATTAAACAAACGGTTCAAAAATTTCAAGCGATATAATAAATGCACCCACTTTTATATTAATCGTTTAAGGTTTGTAGTAAATGGAGCGTACCATATCAATTATTAGTTTTTAATGCAATTTTAAAGTATTAAAATTTAAAATTTTAAAGTTTAAAGTTTAACCTGTAGGGCATCATAATATTAGACAATATTATAAGCAATATAATTTTACACAAATTCGTCAAATATAAGGTTGTCAAATATCTCCCTTCCGCCTTTTTGTATTATAAACCAAGAGCAAAAAAGCGGAAGGGAGATATTTGACAATTTAATATTATTAAAATTTTTAACTGCTCTTTATTAAAATTATATACTAAGGAAAACAGTATTAAATTCTGTATAATATTGCATAATTAGTTTTATAAGTTTTTAGACAATTTTAATAAAAAAAATCACATAGGATATCCATGTATATATGCAAACCAACAATTTTAAATTTTGGACATTCGTTTTAGTTTTTTCTAAATATCTCTTTAATTTAGTATTACATATAAATAAAAGTATATATATTTAGAAAGATTATTAAATTTTCTATAATACCACATAATAGGATGTCAAATATCTCCCTTCCGCCTTTTTGTATTATAAACCAAGCAAAAAAGCGGAAGGAGATATTTGACAACCTAATATATCATTTATATACGACAAACCGTTTAAAAGTTACAACCAATTCAATAAATAAATGCACAAAGTGTGTTATTACTACAGAGGTGTACTATAAATAGTGTAGGAGCCAATAACAAAAATTGTTTGAATATTCACACTGTATATATATAATTTTATTATTACTTATTTAAATTATTATTTCGACTCGAATCTCGGACTGTAAACGAGACTTAAAAATTAATTCTGGTGGTGGTGGTGGTGGTGTGAATACACAATATCGATCGATATTTTTTTAAATTTCGATCGTTTTTCAAAATGATTAAAAATAACACATTTTTTCGTATCTTTTTTTCTTTCTTCTTCACAACGCGACGTTTTAAACGCACTATGGATGTGATTTACCAAAATGTGGCCCGCTACCGGCTCCGTCACTAACTTTGGCCTGCACTGCTACCGGGGGATGGAAAATAATTTGCACGAAATGGAAACTGAAATATCCTATTAAAAACCATCCTATTAAAACCATCACTTGTTCCTCAAAAAAAAAAAATTGTGAATACGTTGCTCAAATTGGAAACCAACAATTTTATCCTCAAAACTCTCTTTTTTGTTACATTTGTCCTTTATCAGAGAGAGCGTTATAGGCTAAGAGTTCGTGCAAAAGACAAAGGTCTTCCTGTACCATCAGCTGCAGATGTCGATGTCGAATTAGATGTAGTTGACAGGAACAACAAACCCCCCAGATGGGATTTTGATACCTACGGCCCTGTTTATGTGAAAGAAAATGTCACAGTTGGCACTATAGTCACTTCTGTTAAAGCAAGGTAAATGGTTACTAGATGGTGAAGGTTGGTGGTTAAAGTCTTGGTCTAATTCTGGTAAGTAGGTAAAAGATTTATGGTAGTAGGATTTTTGGGAGGTCTTTTTGGTTTGATAGACAGATTGATAGAAAATTGTTTTAACAAGTTCTGGGGTAACACAAAGTTCCTTATGCACCATCATCTCCAGATGATGGTGAAGGTTGATAGTAAAAGTCTTTATCCAATTCTGGTAAGTAGATGAAAAATTTATGGTAATAGAGATTTGGAACTTCGTTTGTCAGATAAGGGTGTATTCTAGTGTAGAGCTATGAATTTTAGGTCATTTTTAAAGTGTCGTAAAAGAAAGCAATAAATGTTCTCACTATCAATTCTACCACTTGTTTATTAACATTATTAAAATCCAAAACAATAACTAAAAAAATAAAAAAGTTGAAAATTGTAAAAACTGGCAGCTGAAGAAGTAGGGTTTCTCAAAAAATTGGCACCTTAGTCTTGACATGATTTCAGCCCTCCTAGCCATCGGAAATAAAAGAAATAAAAAGATTATTAATCTACAATGATGTCGCAATCGCCCGAACTAGCGATGAGTAAAAAATGATTTTTTTTACAAATTGGCGACTGTTTGAAAAAAAAGTGTCTTTTTACTATTTTTTTGAGTTTCTCGAATTTTTTAAAAATAGTTAATTGGAATAAGAATATTTTTAACTCGTAAATTTTTTGAGGTCGTAAATTGATGGTGAATGATAATGGAGAAACTAGTAAAATCTAAATAAGATATCATTCTTGGTTCTCGTTGGTAAAAAACCAATAAGAAGTTCCAATCTCATTTTGTTTTACCAAGAACAATAATTTTTACATTTGGTACAAATAGTAACTAGTGGTGTATGGCATCGTGCCTTAAGGCAAATTGCTGAAACTTCCCGTACCGTAACAAAATATTCGAGAAATTTTAAACGTTCTCAAATATATTATTATAAATACTGTAACTTTCATTATTTTTGCTTTCTTATTGTTATATCTGAGCAAATCAAATGTAAATCATAAATCAATTATTACATTAACAATCGTCATTTCATTTCGAATTCAATTTAAAAAAAAAATAGTTGCCTAATTTGCACAAAATTGAAAAAGTGCTCCCGTATAGTCACAGTCTAAACGCATTTGCAAATAATTTTGTGCGACATTTTCACTTATACTGTGCTTGGCTTGGTGGCATTTTCACATTTTTTAAGAGTTTTTACAAAATTCGAATTGGAAAAGTTCTCCAGTCTAAACGCACTTGAGTAAACATTTGTACCAGAGTGGCGCTTAGACTGTGCTTAGCTTGGGTAATTTTTTAAATTTTTAATCCAAAACTACAAAAATATTTTGTGGAAAATAAAAAAAGATGGAATAATTTTTTATCCTCGAAAGCAATTGTTTTGTCAATACAAGCTGAAAGTTTTTTAGATTCGACGCATAGTTTACTCAAAAACTGCCATTTTTTGCACATTTAGCTCTGTATCTTCGAAATGGTGGGACCTGTCTTTGCCAAAAACTAATCACCTCTTCTCTCAATCATTACAAATTGAATGTTTTTTTAGATCATTCAAAGCCAATACTTCGTTCTCTCAAAAACTCGATTTGTATTTTCTGCACTCTTTGCTCCGTATCTCCGTGACGGCTGGACCTGCCTCTACCAAAAAATAACACAACAAGTTAATTATATGTTTTTGACAAAGTAAATAGTCGAGATTGATGGTGAGGCTTATAAAAGCTCTTGGATTATGGTAAACAGAGAAGGATTTTTGAAAATTTTGACAGGACAACGTATTTTTAATTGTTAAATTTGAGGAAAATGTTAGATCAGCCTGTAGAGCAGTGGTGAAGACGGCTATTAAATTAGTAGTCTTAGAAAATAAGAGATTTTTGGAGTACGTATGGGCAATTGTGCCAAAAATTAGGCTTACCTTTACCAAAAACCAATAGTAACATTAGACTTTTGGGGTAAGATTGGGTGATTGTGCCTTATCTTTAACAAAAGTCTATAGTCTCAGGTTATCATAGAAAAGAAGAGCTGTCTGGGTACAGTAAGTTTTGGTGATTGTGCCAAAAAATAGGATTTACATTTACCAAAAGCCAATAGTATGATTAGACTTCTGGGGTAAATTTCGGTGATTGTGCCTTATCTTCAGCAAAAGCCCATAGCCTCAGATTATCAAAGAAAAGAAGAGATTTCTGGGGTACGTTTTGGTGATTGTGCCAAAAAAATTGGACTTACCTTTACCAAAAGCCAATTGTTACATTGAACTTCTGGGGTAAGTTTAGGTGGTTGTGCCTTATCATCAATAAAAGCCTATAGTCTCATAGAAAAGAAGAAATTTGTGGGCTACGTTTTGGCGATTGTGCCAAAAAAATTGGATTTACATTCACGAAAAGCCAATAGTAACATTAGAGCCCAAATTAATTCTGCAGTTACCCTTGGTAGATTTTAATGAGTACAGAAGTTTTTTTAATCACCATCTAATTATTACCAAAAATTTGAGCAACGTCAAAGCAACAACTTCTAATTTTCACCAAAATAGTTTTTTTTACCACACTGCCCTTCATCCCTTACCACTCTGTCCTTTACCTTTACCCTCCAAGATCATCGACGTTCCTGGTAAGTACGCTACCATTAATTTGACTTTCTTTAAAATTGGTAACTATTTAAATACCTTAAGGTCAATTAAATGCAAAAAAAATATTTCATGACAGAATATGTCTGCAATAATTTTAATCAAAAATGAATTAGATAGAAATTTATTAATATGAGGACCAAAAGTTTCAGGTTTTCTGATCCAGTTGCTGGGGAGTGATGTCAATTTTTTTGTTAAATTTGTAGTTTAGTTTGTATTTGATAATGGTGATTTACTAATGGTGGTCATTTTTTTTTGCTTTTTTGCTTTTTGTGGCATACTTTGGACGCTGGACTTGATGGTGATCGTGGATGCTGGATGGATGTAATGGATACTGGACGATTTTTAAAAAACAACATACTTATAATATTTTTTTTAATGGTCCTTAATTTTACTTACCAATTGTCGATTTACCATTAGCGTGAGACTTATAAATTAGAAGCAATGGCTCAGGATAAAGGCTATCCACCTTTATCCAGAACTGTAGAAGTTCAAATTGATGTGGTAGATCGTGCAAATAATCCACCAGTTTGGGACCATGTCGTTTATGGGCCAATTTATATTAGGGAAAATTTGCCAGTTGGTGCTAAAGTCGTTTCGGTTAAAGCCAGGTAAATAGAAGACCAGATTTTAGATCTTTGATAACTAAAAAACTTGCTAAGATAATAAAAATCTATTTAATCAATATGTTGTTTTGGGAGCGATTTATAAGTATACCGAGTTGCTGTAGGGTCTTATGGTGTTAGACAATGTTAAAGATAATTTGATTTTGTACAAATTTGCCGAATATTTCACTAAATTTGCATAAACCGTTCAAAAGTTACTAGGGTTACACCAAACGAATGCATGCAGAGTTAAGTCTTAGATAATTCATGCCCTACAGATTGATCAATCACGCTTTTAGAGTATTCCGAGTTGATGTATAGACTTACTATGTTAGACGATGTTGTAGATAATTTAATTTTGTACAAATTTGCCGAATATTTCACTAAATTTGCATAAACCATTCAAAAGTTATAAGAGATATACCAAACAACAAAAACTGTAACAAATACTGTTGGGTCGACACTTGAGTATTAAATGTTTTGTTATTTTCGATGAGCTCCTAAGGACGTATTATTTCGAATGCAACTATGATTTTTGTATATGTAATTACTTATACAGTTTACTTTATTTCCCAGTACTAGATTTTCTTAAGTCTCAAACAAAATTTTCCAAAATTTGCAATAATATCCATCAAGTACCAGAACGTCAATTGTTGGGTCGACACTTGAGTATTAAATGTTTTGTTATTTTCGAGGAGCTCCTAAGGACGTATTATTCCAAATACTACTATGATTTTTAGATATGTAATTTCTTATACAGTTTACTTTATTTCCTAGTACTAGATTTTCTTAAGTTTCAAACAAAATTTTCCAATATTTGCAATAATATCCGTCAAGTACCAGAACGTCAATTGTTGGGTCGACACTTGAGTATTAAATGTTTTGTTATTTTCGAGGAGCTCCTAAGGACGTATTATAAGGAATATATTTATGATTCTTGGATACGTGATTCCTTATACAGTTTACTTTATTACCTAGTACTAGATTTTCTTAAGTCTCAAACAAAATTTACCAAAATTTGCAATAATATCCATCAAGAACCAGAACGTCAATTGTTGGGTCGACACTTGAGAATTAAATATTTTGTTATTTTCGAGGAGCTCCTAAAGACGTATTATTCCGAATACAACTATGATTTTTGGATATGTAATTCCTTATACAGTTTACTTTATTTCCTAGTACTAGATTTTCTTAAGTCTTGAACAAAATTTTCCAAAATTTGCAATAATATCCATCAAGTACCAAAACGTCAATTGTTCGGTCGACACTTGAGTATTAAATGTTTTGTTATTTTCGAGGAGCTCCTAAGGACGTATTATTTCGAATGCAACTATGATTTTTGTATATGTAATTACTTATACAGTTTACTTTATTTCCCAGTACTAGATTTTCTTAAGTCTCAAACAAAATTTTCCAAAATTTGCAATAATATCCATCAAGTACCAGAACGTCAATTGTTGGGTCGACACTTGAGTATTAAATGTTTTGTTATTTTCGAGGAGCTCCTAAGGACGTATTATTCCAATACTACTATGATTTTTAGATATGTAATTTCTTATACAGTTTACTTTATTTCCTAGTACTAGATTTTCTTAAGTTTCAAACAAAATTTTCCAATATTTGCAATAATATCCGTCAAGTACCAGAACGTCAATTGTTGGGTCGACACTTGAGTATTAAATGTTTTGTTATTTTCGAGGAGCTTCTAAGGACGTATTATAAGGAATATATTTATGATTCTTGGATACGTGATTCCTTATACAGTTTACTTTATTACCTAGTACTAGATTTTCTTAAGTCTCAAACAAAATTTACCAAAATTTGCAATAATATCCATCAAGAACCAGAACGTCAATTGTTGGGTCGACACTTGAGAATTAAATATTTTGTTATTTTCGAGGAGCTCCTAAAGACGTATTATTCCGAATACAACTATGATTTTTGGATATGTAATTCCTTATACAGTTTACTTTATTTCCTAGTACTAGATTTTCTTAAGTCTCGAACAAAATTTTCCAAAATTTGCAATAATATCCATCAAGTACCAAAACGTCAATTGTTCGGTCGACACTTGAGTATTAAATGTTTTGTTATTTTCGAGGAGCTCCTCAGGACGTATTATAAGGAATACAACTATGATTTTTGGATATGTAATTCCTTATACAGTTTACTTTATTTCCTGGTACTAGATTTTCTTAAGTTTCAAATAAAATTTTCCAAAATTTGCAATAATATCCATCAAATATCAGAACGTCAATTGTTGGGTCGACACTTGAGTATTAAATGATTTGTTATTTTCGAGGAACTCCTAAGGACGTATTATTCCGAATACAACTATGATTTTTGGATACGTTATTCCTTATACAGTTTACTTTATTTCCTAGTACTAGATTTTCTTAAGTCTCAAACAAAATTTTCCAAAATTTGCAATAATATCCATCAGGTAGCAAATTGTTAGGTCGACACTTGAGTAATAAATGTTTTGTTATTTTCGAGGAGCTTCTAAGGACGTATTATTCCGAATACAACTATCATTTTTAGATATGTAATTCTTTATACAGTTTACTTTATTTCCTGGTACTAGATTTTCTTAAGTTTCAAACAAAATTTTCCGAAATTTGCAATAATATCCATCAGGTACCAAATTGTTGGGTCGACACTTGAGTATTAAATGTTTTGTTATTTTCGAGGAGCTCCTAAAGACGTATTAATCCGAATACAACTATGATTTTTGGATATGTAATTCCTTATACAGTTGATTTTATTTCCTAGTACTAGATTTTCTTAAGTCTCAAACAAAATTTTCTAAAATTTGCAATAATATTCATCAAGTACCAGAACGTCAATTGTTGGGTCGGCACTTGAGTATTAAATGTTTTGTTATTTTCGAGGAGCTCCTAAGGACGTATTATTCCGAATACAACTATGATTTTTGGATACGTAATTCCTTATACAGTTTACTTTATTTCATGGTACTAGGTTTTCTTAAGTCTCAAACAAAATTTTCCAAAATTTGCAATAATATTCATCAAGTACCAGAACGTCAATTGTTGGGTCGACACTTGAGTATTAAATGTTTTGTTATTTTCGAGGAGCTCCTAAGGACGTATTATTCCGAATAAAACTATGATTTTTGGATATGTAATTCCTTATGCAGTTTACTTTATTTCCTAGTACTAGATTTTCTTAGGTTTCAAACAAAATTTTCCGAAATTTGCAATAATATCCATTAAGTACCAGAACTTTATTTATATTATAGAGGAAATAATAGAAGCAAATTAAGTTTAGTATAAAATTTTAGATGTTTTATTGCAAAAGTATAGTTCATAAATATAATACTATTTAGATATTTGTAAAGTATTAAAATATCAATAATATGAGTTTTATATAATTCTATATATATATATATATATATATATATATATATATATATATATATATATATATATATATATATTTGTTGTGATATATAAGATATGAATTTCGTAAGAACAAAAATTTTTATACATGGGGTTAGTAGTAGTTAGATGTCTTAGGGTTGTCTAGGTTTTTAGTAATTTAATAGTAAGGTAAATTTGAGCTACCAATTTAGGCAATACCTTCAGGTAAGTATGAACAGATTTATTTTTGCATCTAAAACAATTATAAACTTATCTTAATGGTAAACTTATAAAAATAATTAATTAATTTTTGGTCACTTTTTGTGTATTGATCTTTAAGTTTTGGAGAAACATCAAATTTTTTTTTTTGACAAATCAGGAAGCTGATACAAAATTAATTACATTTCACTCTTACAAAAAAACCTTTGATTTTAATTACTATTAAATTAAATACGATCAGATTTTTACCATGTTTTCTAATTTTCTTACTTTTTTCCTCAGTTCTGGTATAGAAGGCAACCCAACGGTTTTCTATCGCCTAATGCCAGGATCAACAGCTCAGACCAATAAATACCACACATTTTACCTTCAACAAAGATCTGATAATGGTTTTACTTGGGCTGATATCAAAGTAAATCATCCACTGGACTATGAGACCATCAAGGAGTATAATTTGACCATACGTGTAGAGGTAAGGAAAAAACTGACAACAAAAACATATCAACAAAAAATGTCTTTGACCAATGCTGTTCTGATTAAAATTAGTCTAGACATTTGGCATAATTGAATTACTTGTGATTCTCATAAACTGTAGTCAATCCATCACCAAGTTCTTAGAAGTCAACCATATTTGAACAGTAGTAACTCCAGAACGCTTTTAGCGATTTACAAATTTCAAACGCCAATCGATGAGTAATAATAATTTTTCAAAATCACATATTTTTGGTAAAGATCAGCCAAGCCGTTTTTGAGTTGGTCAAAAATAACCAAAATATCTCATATCTTAGGACAACCCAAAAACACTTTGATCAATTTATATAGAAACTTTAGCAAGTACCTAATTAAAATCAACTGTTCACTAAATTTTTGACCAAGTGGCTCCTGTTTATTATAATCAATTATTTTTTATTTTTTTAGAACAATGGTGCCCAACAATTGGCTTCTGAAGCAACAGTTTACATAATGCTGGAAGACGTCAACGATGAAATTCCTTTATTTACTGAAAGAGAACAAGAAACTGTCTTGGAAGGTGAACCAATTGGCACCAAAGTCACCCAAGTGAATGCCATTGACAAGGATGGAACTTTTCCTAATAACCAGGTAAATATAATAGATGTCCTGAATCCTAATTTTTGGTCCTGAAAATCATGAGAAATTTGTTTTTTAGCATATAAAAATAGTGATTGTTTTGGTACTTTTTTACACACAAAAACTAGATAAAATTCTTAATTAGAAAAAAATTGCGGAAAAAATTACAGATTCAACGATTTTTTTATATTTCGAAAATTTTCTCAATATCAGGATTTTTGTGTAACTCTTAGTTGTACATTTTTGTTAGTTTTTTTTGACGTAACTTTTGTCTAAAAAAAAGTCTTCAAAAATTATTCACACACTCAAAACCTAGATAAAATTTTTATATATCATGCAATCTTACAAAATATTTCACAAAAATGTAAATCAATAAAATATAAATCAAGCAATATTTGCATTTTTGATTATGAAACACAGTTTGATATTCGCTGGTTGCCCACATTTTGACATTCACCGAATTTATGTTTATCAAAATTTGAACAAATACTTTTACTTCGAATAAACTATTTTATTTGTGAATTCAATCATGATTTGGTCGTCGGATTGAATCTATCGAAAAATTCCGATTAAATGTTAATATAATAGTGCATACATTTATCTTGGATATAAAAGTAATATACAATTTTAAAATTAATCAATTAATAATAATTTTTTGTTTCTAGTTTTAAACACAACGAATTTTTTTATTTAAATCTAACGAGCACAAATTTCTTACAATTTTTATCTAAAATTTATTTTTAAATAAGTGTTACATAATTAAGCTGAAATTTATTTGTGATTTACAAATAAATTACAATTTTAAAATTAATTAATTAAACAAAAGTGCAAGTGATTTAAATACACGTGCAAAATTTAAATTAAAGTTAATAAATTTTTGTTTTTTTTTTAATTTTAAATACAACACTTTTTATAAAAATGAAAATGAGTGAAATTTTTACAGTTTTTGTACTTCACAAAGGTGATTTTATTTTATTGTTTTATTTCATTTTTCATATTTCTGAATAAATATATTGTTCATTATAGGTTCGATTTTTTCAAAATAAATTTTAAATTGATTAAACTTGCAAAAAAAATCATTTTTCTATTAAGTAAAGTTATATCAATATGGACTAAAAACGTGCTCATTATTTCTACATGCATGTATTCATTATATATATATATATATATATATATATATATATATATATGTATTTATGTATAATTAATGAATATTACTGCCATTTCAATAAGTTCATTGAACAAAGGGAAATTATGATCATTTGGTCGTAATTAACAAATCCAGCTTCAATTAATTCCACAAAATCATTATTTGCAATTTCAATAGCCGACAAGTGACTACGAATTTATATAATCGTATTAAACACAATAAACGTAGATATATACATATACATACACACATTTATATATACACATTCATATCATATAAAAATTTCCTGTCAAAATCGTATAACGAGAAATTCAAATTCACAAAACGTGCCTAAAAATTTACGTAATTTATAATTGATTAATTTATTTCTAAATGTTAATATTATTTTAATTTTTATTTTATTTTAATGTTGATAAATTTCTACTATTTTATTAATTTTATTTACTAATTTTACTTTTATTATTATTTGCTTTTATTTTATATTAAATCATCATACTACGAATATCATTATAATGTAAATTCTATCCTTTGCACTCTTATTTATTCAAATTTATGTTATTATTTATTATTGTTACTAGATGTTACTTATTTAATAGTTGTAATAAATATTGTGATTAAAAAAACAACAAATTTTCAACGAGCTCCTCAGGACTTTAAAGATTTACCATAAACTTGTAATGAGAATACATTATTACCTTATATATCTAATATATAACAAAATTTTTAAATTTGCAATTTTTGCAATAAATTTAAAAATATTTGTCATTTTTAAAAAAAATTGTCGAAGGTTATAAATAGTGGTGCATTTTCAACGAGCTCCACAGGATGTTCTAGATGCACCATAAACTCATATTTTAAATACATCATATTACATTATGACTTTTGTGACACCTAATTTTCAAATTTGCAATTTTTGCAATACATTTCAAAATATGTCATTTTTAAGTTTTGTGTCTAACCTTTTTCAAAGGTTATAAAGGGTGATGCTATTTTAAAATATTTTAATACGCTAACATTAATATTATTATTATTATCTTATTTCTAATATTGTTATTTTGTTATATTTAATTGTTTTTCTAGTATTATTTTATTATCCAGAAATTTTATATATATTGGGGTTGTCAAATATCTCCCTTCCGCCTTTTTGTATTATAAACCAAGAGCAAAAAAGCGGAAGGGAGATATTTGACAACCTAATATTTATTAATTTTATAATTATTATTATTTGCTTTTATTTTATATTGAATTATCATACTACGAATATCATTTTTAATAAAAAATTCTATCCTTTTTACTCTTATTTATTTAAATTTGTTTTATTTATCATTATTGCTAGATGCTAATCATTTAACAGTTGTAATAAATATTGTAATTAAAAAAATAAATAAATAAATAAATATATTTCTACCTACTAATTATCTAACCAATTTTTTTTTCTTCCAGGTCTATTACTATGTGGTAGATTCTCCAAGAAATGAAGGCAAAGACTTTTTCGAAATAAACCTTCAGTCAGGGGAAGTTTTTACCAAAGTTGTCTTTGATAGGGAAAAGCAGGGCGCCTACGCCCTTGAAATCGAGGCCAGAGACGGGGCAACCAGTGCCAGGCCTAATAGCAACAATCATCCGAATTCAGGTCAGTGGAAAAAAAAATTAATATATATGTATATATATATATATATAATATATGTATATATATTTTGATGAGTTATTTAGAATCGGGCAGTAACACCAAGTAAAAAAAACTAAAGTAGTTTTGAAATACTTTATCTCAAAACTACTTTAGTTTTTATACTTGGTGTTACTGCCCGATTCTAAATAACTCATCAAAATATATATATCAACACCAAACTCACATATTTCAAAATGTATTGAATGTTTCTAATTTAAAAAAAAAATGTTACATAGACGAATGAAACACCTTTCAGAAAAACGTTTTTCGTAGATTTTCTTATATAGGCATGTAGTATGGTTAAAGAAAAATTATATAGTTGAATGAAACAGTCTTTAGAAGAATGTGTTCTAAAATATTTTCTTTGGGGTTAAAAAAATTCAATTTATGTTTACCTTAGTGTAGGTATTTTTATTAATCAATGATAATAATAATAATAATAATAATAGCCTATATTTTAATTTTAAACAATATTCAAAAAAATAGTATTTCAGTAAGTTAAATGAAATAATTACTATGTTAAATAATAATTATAAAAATCTTAAAATTTGTACCGTTTAATATTACAGTTATTAATTTACATGTTCTCAAAAAATTATATTATATAGTTGAATGAAACAGTCTTCAGAAGAACGTCTTCTTAAACATTTTATTTTCTTATAAAAAAATTCAATTCATATTTATCTTAGTGTAGGTATTTTTATAAATTATAATAATAATAATAATAATAATAGCCTGCATGTTAATTTGAAACAATATTTAAAAAATAGTATTGCAGTAAGTTAAATTAAATAAATAATTACTATGTTAAAAAATAATTATATAATTCTTAAAATTTAAACCATAATCCATAAAATTATTATTACAAGTCAGTTTTGTTTATTACTTAATTAATTTAATATTAGGTTTTTTTTTATAAAATTATTCTTCAATATATTTTCGTACCAAAACTGTTGAAAAAGTTTGCAAAAGTAATCATGTTAAGTACTCGAACTAATTGTAATAATTTACTTTGAAAAAGTTTCCAAAAGTTATGAAACTAAAAAATATACTTATGTCTTGGATAAAAACTTTATGGAAAATTATGTATATATATAAAAAAATTATAAAATTTACAATTAAAATTTAGATTTTATAAATTTTGTATATCCTAACATTTATTAAAAAACCTAAATTCATTTTTACTATAAACACAAAAGATTAAATTCAAGATTTAGTAAAAAAATCGGATTAATGCAATTTTTTGTTTAAACATTTTGCAACATATCAAATTTATTTATATAATACAACAAATAAAACAAGATTTATTTAAAAATAGCAAAATTAGTTTTTACCATTATTTTTAAAATGTTATTCAAAGTAAAAGTATTTGGTATTTTCGAAAAACATGAAAATTAGTGAATATCAAAGTGTGGTACATCACTTTTTTTGCAAATTTTATTTAGTTTTTTCGTGTGCAAATAAATTTAGAAACATTTTTTTAGACAAACTTACGTCAAAATTTAACAAATTTTGTCAATTTGACAAACAATTATCAGCTAAGAGCTAAACAAATTTTATGGGTTTAAAGATGTAACTTCGTGAAACTTATTTATAAAAATTGGCATTCGTAAAAATCTTGTTTAAAAATTGTTATATTTCTCGTTCCAGCTAAATGTTTTGTGCAAGAAATATTTATACACAACACTATTTAACGCAAAAACAAATATTTAATTATTTAATTTCAATAATTTGAAAAAAAAGTAATAAAAACTAGTTTTAAACAATTTTTATCAACAAATCAGGTTCCGCGCCTATTAATTACCTTTAGCGTTCAAATCACTGTTCCTCACAAACTTTTCTCTAGAAACAATTTTTTTTTTAAATATGTTTGAGTATATTTCTTTAACTAAATTTAAAAGACGTATTGTAGTGGAAAAATATTCTTTTTGCTTGTTATGTAATCATTCTTTTGTACATAGCTTTCTCGGAAGAATTTTTAAATAAAATAAATAAAAGTACAGAACAAATGTGTACGTAGACGCAGATGTAAAAGAAACAAAATAATGAAGTTTATATATATAAATATATATACATATATATATATATATATATACATATATATATATATATATATATATATTAAATATATCTTTTACCTTTTTCCATATTTTTGATAATTTTTTTCGAGCTAATCATAAATGCATGAGCGAATATTATCGAGACAACTTTTCTTCGTTGTCTTGAGATTTTTGGCAAAGATCGTCTTTTGGCCAAGGGCCAAATTATATTACAAAAACTACTTTTGGTACTTACAACATTGTTTTTGAAGTCACGTGTCGTTTAACTTATCAATTTCTTGCAAATCAGGACGACGAACAATAACACTGAAATTTAAAAAAAATATATATATGTATACATATACGAGTATATATATATATATATATATATATAATAAAAGAAATTTGTGTAATTTTTCATATTTACGTTGGTTGGTTTTACTTAACTAAGAGAAATAGTGGAAGGATTTTCCTAATTCATACAAATGATGGGAGAGATAATCTTGTTACAAATATATATATATATATATATATATATATATAAAGTGTAATTAAAGCTATCGTTTGCGATCTTAATTAAATAATTTCCACAAGGACTCCAAAAGTAATAAATCATTTTGATTATTTTGAATTCGAAACAGTCCTCTGCAAATGTTGCATCTAACGAGATAACTATTATATATATATATATATATATATATATGTATATATATATATATATAAGCGTTTTTTCTGCATTTTATTGCAACACAAATAATACTTAAAATGCTTTTAATCCTGGGATTTCATCGATTTTGCACAAAAAAACACAAATGCGAGTGTAATGGATCCTTCTAATTGGATTCCGGTTGGAATTTAGGGGAAATGATTGGAAAAATAGGTTTAAATAGATTTTTATATAATACATTTTTGAGTACACTTATATAATCCATATTTTTGTGATTTTTTACTGATTTATACACTTTTTTATAAATTGACTTGATGTAAACTTTTATACAGTTTTTATTCAAGTCTTCTTTAATTTTTTAAGTTTTTCTAACAAATTTTTACAGATTACGAATTTTTTGCAAAAACAGTTTTTTATAGTTTTGTATAAATATAATTGCCTTTGACAAACTTTTTCCAAATTTTTTTTCTCCCAATAATTATGTGCAAAAAATACACAAAATCGTGTGTCTAACTGAATTCCGGTTGGAATTTCCGAAAATAGCATTTCCAAAAATCAAAATAAATATTACAGTTTCTAAATCACACAAACTATCTCCAATTATAATTTTTTTTCCAATATTTCTTCGTCCTCGGCACGTTTGTTTGCAAAGTGCTCTTCAAAAACTCTCCCAACTTTGTTTTTTTCTTTTTTGGCTCTCGATTTTCAGTCTATTTAGAAAGAAGAGATTTCTAGTGAACATTCGAATTGTTTTTGTCGATTTTCCGAGATTTTTCCTATTTTCATGGAATTCAATTGAGGTAAAAAATAAAATAATAAAACAGACGATGGAGGAATGTTGTTATTCTATTCATTGGCAATGAATAAAGGTTCATTAAGGGAAAAATATGAATGAATTTAGTAAAACTTGTATAAAATTTATATTTATTTTTATTGGAATTTATAGTTCGTTATTAATATATTGATCTACTCAATTTTTTAACGCAAGTAACACCAACGATTCGAACGATTTTTTTCTTTATTTTTTACATTTAACAACCATACGAGTCATTATAGAATTTTTTTTTTAATATTTGTATCTACACAATATGTAAATAAAATTTTATGATCTAAATAATATTTTATAAATACAGATGAGTATAAAATTATACAAAAATAATAATAATAACAATAATATAAGACACTTAAATTTGCTAAATATCATAAAATAACCTAAAATTTGTTAAATAAAATAATTTTGTAAAAGTATTGTAAAGCTGATTAAAATACTTATTAATTTTTTTAAAAAAAATACTTGCAACAAACAAACTAGTTATATTTAAAAATAATAAAAATTAACTAAATATAATTAATTTTATAGTAAATAAATTAAATAATAAATAAATTAGTAATAAAATAGCTAATAATTAATTAAATTATATTAAACCAATAAAATATTGACTTAAGCCTTATTATAATATTATTATACCGACCGCTTGTAAAATTAATAAATAAATAAAAGAGACTTTTCAGGTACAGACTTTGCAAAAAAAAATCATTTGCAAAAATAAGAGAGTGCCATAGCGCCAAAAAGTGCATTTGCATGTTAACATTTCAAAAAAATGATACTCTGAGTTTTTAATAATATATGCGTTATGATTAATAATATTTTAATAAAATTACATGAAAACCACTTACTACAATTAAATAAATATAAAACATCCAATTTAATTTAATTGAACATAATTTGTCAAATCCAACATTTTATGTATTTACGTTTCATTTTAAATTATACCTCGACAAAAAAATTTCAATTTAAAATGTAAAGTTCCTACCCGGTTTTAAAAAAAATTCTCACCTTTTCCACAATCTCTGGATTATCACAAATATTTCAAAACAAAAAGTGGCCAAATCGGTTCAGCTGTTTTTGAGTTTTAGCAAACATAACATTATATGAAGCTCCATTCTTATATATAAGAAGATATATATATATATATATATATATATATATATATATATGTGTGTGTGTGTGTATGTATGTATGTATGTATGTATAAGCTAGAAAAAGCGTAAATCCTAATTAGAACTTTAAATGTAAATACAAAGTAAATAAAAAACAGTTTATTTACATCTGCCTTCATTTCTCCTCTAACTATGCAAACACTTTTTATCATTTAAAAATTTGTTTTATACTTTTAGTAACTCTTAAATCTTATTTTTTCTCTAAGATTTTTAAACTACGATCAATATAGAATATCCTATCGTTTATTCCTGCAAAG